CGCCTTGGTTTCCCTCCGACAATATGGCAATTACGAGAAATTCCCTCAGTCACGGTACGAAAAAGGAACCCTGACAAGAAACTAGGAAAAGGATAGGAACAGGCATTTAGGAGACGACATCCAGAGGAATAAAGACACATTTTAGTAAACAGCTGAATTTCATTCGCAATATACGTGGAAATAACTTAGAATTAATGAACTACTTCTTTAACGTGGTATGATTTTTTTTTTTATTCTCAAGGTATATTATGTTTTTTTTAGTTTAATAAGTATTAATATATATATCTACTTAGTTAGAGTCTGTCATACATGAATACAAAATTCAACCACAAAATAGGTATTATAATAATATTGATGAAATTGGCTTCCTCCTAGGACTTGGTCAATCTGAAAGAGTTTTGGAAGTGATACGAAGTCCACGTAAAAATGGTAAATTAAAGTATTGTGTACAAAGTTAGTTTTAATATCTTTAAATATAATATTGAAAGAATTATACTTACAAAGTAATTAGATAGTACTCGAGAATTTGTTACTGTTATTGAAGTTGTTTGTGCTGATGGAACTACCTTAAATCCAACAATCATTCTTAAGGCAGAAGAGTTTATTGCTGAATGGATTAAAAATATTAAAGAAGTTCCAGAAGACATCTTGTTTAGACAGTAACATAATGGGTGGACCAATGAAAAGATGGCTCAGGAGTATCTTAGAAGAAACATTGGGCCTAATAGTACTTCTTCACAGAAGACAGCAGGCAAGTTTCAACTCTTGATTTTTGATGGGCACAGCAGTCATGTCAATATAGGATTCTTAGAATTCTGTATTTCTCAGAAGATTATCCTGTATTGCCTTCCACCACATACCACCCATCGACTACAGCCACTAGATGTTTCTATATTCAGTCCATACAAGAATCAGTATCAAAGGAAACTTGCCCACCGCTTTGAAAGACATGAGTATGGGGTTTCAAAAGAGAGTTTTTATGAAATTCTTAGGATAGCATGCCGCACATCCTTCGCAAAGGCTAATATACGAAGTGGATTTCGAAATACTGGACTGGTTTCCGTGAACAGAGGTATTATTGTCTCTAAAATACAGGCCTCAAAACCTCAATCTCCAGAACACAATTCCATAACCCCAAGTTCTGAAACTCCAAGTTCTTATTCCGCTATCCTCGAACCAATCTCTCCTTGTCCGAGTCCTCAACTATTGAGTACGTTCTCTGCCCAACAGATTGACAAGCTTGAGGTACCATGAAATAAATACGATATTGAGTAGCAAGAACTGATTGTCTTTGCTACATTGATTCGAAATAGTCCGGTGGAATGGGGCTTGAAGAAAATAGTTAGCAACTTAGCTATTAGCACAAACTAGATACTCATGCAAGTAGAGGAGAAAGATCGTCAACTTGAAAACCTAAAGCAGCAGTTAGTTCAAGTTCAGCAGAAAAAGGTAGCAAACAGGACAAGAATACCAACCTCAGAGAAGGCTTGAATTAATCATGAAAAAATTGTGCTGTTTTTTCGAATCGCAGACTACTAAGAAACAAGAAATAATTGAAAGAAGATATCAGAATGCAAAGAAACTAGTTGAGTCAAGAAAACAAAAGTTAGCTAAGTATACCAGTAAAAGAAAGAATGTGGAAGAACTAGAAAGAAAGGGGAAGTTACTGTTAGGAATACCAGGATCTAATACCCAGAAGTCACCCTAAGTAGGGTAACCTTATCCAGAATTAGAATCTCTAGTCTCCAACACCCCCCTCTAGCACCCTTACCGGGCCTGCACATCATCATACATATCAATCTCTGTTGCGTCCTGTGCCTATAATACTACATAATTGAAGGTGTCAGAATAATGCCATATACTTTGCTGCCGTCCATCCAACCGAGTCCTGTTCGCAGGACATATAAGAGGGAACCTTCTGCTAGGTCTGAGAAGTGAAACACAGTAGATCCGCCAACTACTCAGAATATTACTAGGCTTCAAAGATGTGATACCTTTGGCATAGGCCATAAGTAATGGGATGTTTCCGCATAAAGAAATAGTATTAAATAGTAAAGGATCTCAATAAGAGACCAATATATTCACACCTACCCTACAATATCTAGAAGAGTCTAGAACTCCGAGAAACACTACTATAGAAGTTATTAGACTTCATGAAGTATTGTAACCAGGTTTCGGAACACATTGTAGTTACAAAGACAACTTTCTATACTACAATGGTGATTGAAATCCCGTTACCTAAAAGCAACCAATGGTTACTGACCGAGGGAATAATTGTCAACCCGATAGAATAGCTTTCTGCAAATTAGTAGGAAGTCTTCTGGAAGACATTTATCGGTTAGGTAGGGAGTTATGGAGGTTTAAAGTCAGATGACCAAGAAAGGTTGCGATTACGACTACCTTCACAGATACAACCCACAGGTGAAACTGATCATTTCATCAATAATGAAGACCATTAGAGCCAACTCTGTTCAACTTGAGAACTAGGCCACAAGTCTAAAGACTCTAAAGATCAGATAACTACTATTGGGAACAGTATGGTTCCGAGTTAGTTATATCATAATTAGCAAAGAGGGTGTGGTGAATTTCAGGGTCTCCAGATGTTCGCACCTTTCAAGAATACCCAAAGTTGCAAGTTATAATCAGAAAGGTACATAGTGGCATGATAAATAGAAGTAGCCCGCGAACACTCAGACGCGGAATATAAATATCGTAGTGCCTCCCAAAGCTTTAGACATCATCAAACAATGGAGAAGAGACCTTAACAATATAATATTGTTTTTATGATTCTATCTTACTTTACCAAATTTACTTCGCTCTCAGTAGTCATAAATGAAAAGAGTGAACTCAAGCCTTCCTAGACAATCTCCATCTACAGAAATGAATTTCGATGGGCCTAGACAATTCTGAAGTCTATCAGGTCGTCTCTGCCTAACAGTTACCCAAGCGACAAAAAACCGGTTCAGCCTTATTGGAAGAGGAGGTACGACTTTCTGAACAAGTTTCCGAAGCAGAGTGTAAGGTGAAGAAGTTTGAAAAACACCTTGAAGATTTGATGCAAAACATAGGAGAGGCTGGAAGATTGATAGGCTGTTCGGAGGAAGACTTGGAAAGAGATTGTGAACTTGATGAGTGAGAGCTTGGAGACATTTTTGATGAGGAAGCAGGGGTCCTAGGGACTCCTGCTCCAAGGGAAGAATCCATGGACCAGTCACTCGATTTTTCATTTGGACCTCCAGATAGATGAACTATCTCTGGAGGTAGTTGGCTGTGGGTGTTGTAAATTGTTTGTGTTGATAGATCAGAAGAAAAAAAGTTTGTTTGCTGAGGTAGACGGCGAAGTGGGGGGAGGTCCAGTTTGGTTGCTGCCAAGACATGCCGCGTCTCGCTGAGGGTGCCGTCTCGCTGAGCGCTCACACGGTTTACATAGAATAGCAAAATCATCTGCTTTCCGATCACTTTCTTCCTCACCCTCACATGCGTACATTACCGCACGCTACCTCCCTCCACTTCCCTTCCCGTCCCCGCGGGTCCAACCACGATATTCACACCAATCCCCCCCACAATGCCAATCCCCCCACCCACTCAGCCCACTAACGCATACTCGAGTACCAGGGATTAAAACGTCCAGGCAGGACACGAATCACTCTTTCCTTAGCGCATCACCACAAAAGGAACGCTGTGATTTAACCAGGGGACTTGAGAGTACTGCCGGGATACGATAGACTACCGTGCTCTTCCGTTCTTCCCCACACTTTCGAGTATCATAGTCCGCCAAAAAAAAAACCCCCCCTTGACTCCCATCGGTGATTATCCTACCGGAATCCCCCCTACCACACCCCCTCCGCAACCGCCGTTATCCCCGTCCACATGTCCCTCCCCACAAACACAACAAGCACGGGCCAATACATACCCTCACTACTATACCCGAGTACCTGCCAACCCCCTCTGAATCCAAAAAGGTGCGCAAACAAGTACATCGTTCCCATCACTGGCAGAACAGAATATTCGAGAAGCCACTCCGAAACCTGCCCCACAGTACTCGAGTACCGCGCAATACTACAACGGACATGTTCCCGAAGCGAAAGAGAGCGGTGATCCGGCCGGATCATCTTGCTCTACGAGTGCTCTGCCGTACTGGTCAGTCAGTAGTCGGCGTACGGTGCGGTATTGTATCATACTCGTACTCGAGTATCACAGGCTGAATCTCACTCACACATGCCCGCCCACCGTGCGCAAGGCTAGATCTGTAGACAGGACGGCAAATTTTCATACAGTTCTCGACGATCTCGAGGGGACGATGAATGAGTAATCTTGATATCATATATATCGATCATGTCATGATCTGCGTGCACTGCACGGGTAGCGAATACAAAACGAGAGACTATTGAAGTGAAGTGCTTAGTGGCAGTAACCCAATGTGCGGCGGCTCTGGTCTACCGATCGTGACATTCAAAGCGCAGCGGCAGCGAAAAAAATACACAAACTTGTACAGTATTGTACAGTACTAGTACTTGTAAAAAAGAACCCCCCCCCCACGGGCGGGGAAAGGGGGTGGGAGTGGCCTCTATGCCACAGGCACAAGTATCGCTAAGTTAACTCATCTCGCTCGCTCTTTGTTTTGTCCCCTCCATTTTTTCCCACAACCTACAGTTGTTCCCCTTCACGTGGAAAACAAAAAGGGAAATACCAAGTTGTGCACATTTAAAATAATTGATTTACATTTCGGCATTTGCTCAATTCTCGCAACCTCTCTATCAACCCTTGTACTGTACCAGACCAACTCCCGGGAATCGATATCAAAGTGAGAGCCTCCCCAAAGAGCTGTCACGACAAATCACTCGCATATTGTGCCTCAGCGCCTACCCTTCTGTGTGACAATAAAGCAACAATCACTACGAGAGGAAAAAGAAAAAAAGAAAAAGAAAAAAACAGCGAACCAATCAGAAGGTGAACTAATCCGATAGCGACCAGGTTTTGTTTTCTTTTGTTTTGCATCATCAAACCTGTCGCTCCTCCCTCCCCAACATCTTCACGATTCTCGCGTCGGCTAACCTGCTCTGCAGGATGTTATTTAGCCGGTTGAAAAGTTCGCTTTTCGAGCCGGTCAGGAGTATCTCGCTATTAGCTCTTGAATGTAGCTGGAGGTTCCTCTTTAATTCTGGCAGGTTCATATTCTCCAATTTCTTCGGGTCGTGAGCATACGAATCTGGTATGTCCATGGAATAATGTGATTCGCGGTTATTGAGATAGGTAATGCAGTGGTTCGGAAGCGAGAGCAATCGGCAGTTACCTGGAAGCGCCCCTGTGACCAATCGCCGTAATCCGGGCATCGAAATGTTTGTCCCCCTGAGATAGACTCTGGCAAGTTTGGGCAATGCAGCGAGCGGTACGCGGCAATCGTCATCCATACCCTGGTTGTGAGACAAATTCAATTGAACCAATGTCTTGTGGTGACAGACAATGTGGTGGAGCGAATGTACCCCTAGTCCCGTATTCGAAATATCAAGATCTGCCAGAGATGTGAGCAACATGAGCAAACTCAAGTCGTTATTTGAAAGTTGTGTATTTCTCAGGGAAAGTGTGGTAAGGGCAGAAAATTGATCCTGCTGGTAGAGGCTCCTAAGTATGAGAGTGGGAGGCTTGTTCGGAATAAGAATTTCGGAAGGAGACGATAACGGAGTTGACAGATCAAGCAATCTAAGCCCGGATCCACGGAATGAATCGAGAAGTTCCGGAGACCAGCAGTCTAAAACACAAGATTTCAGCCAAGTTTAATGTCATAGGGGACGATAGTGACAACTTTTCTTAGTAACCAGATCTGCAACTCCTTGTGCGGTATCCCCCTCAACGAGTTCGACGAGCTCACGCAAGTCCTTTTGTGGTAACAACTCTTTCAAAGCCCGATAGACTGGGCCGCCAACGGCGAAGGATTCCTGCAGCAGGGATGTCCCTTTATCAACCGCCGAGCCTAATATGTATTCAGATCAGCCCAAAGAATTGGAAGGGCTCCGAAGACCGATAGGGGAGAAGGCTCACCAGATTGCGGAGCTAGAACAACATTGTCCTCCAAATTACCCTTCCTCACATTTGGCTTCAGTTCTGACTTGCGTGGATAAGATCGGTGGAGATCGATGGAATGAATATCGCTTGAGCTGGGGTTGGGATTTTTTTCCTTTAAGGCCACACGTTTTCTCCCTGGACTCCCTGAAGCCGCAACTGTAGCATCCGTTTGATCACTTTTCCTTGAGCGTACAGCAGTAGCAGATGGGATAACTGCATTGGCCCTTGTCCTTGGACCTGCAGCTACAGCAGCAGCGGAAACACCCTCCAGGTACCCCTCTTCCGCACCGACCCGAGAAGAGATTGGGCCAGTCTTTTCGTGTCTTCTCATCTTCTTCCTCGGGGGGTGCTTGTCATCAGGGTCAGATTTCTCCTCCAACAAAGCAGAGCTCGGAGCATGGGGTATGGTGCCCCCGCATAACTTATCATCCAAGGAGGCTTCGGCGGGGTTGTCGTCCTTGTGTACCTTGAGTGCCACAGACTTCCTGCGAACCATGGTTTGACAAGGTGGGGACACTCGCTGATAGTGATGATGAATATAGTGTTGCCGAAAGTGACTAATATGATGAGAAGTGAGAATTAGCTCCTGGGCGAGTGTCAGGGGCAAAACTGAATTTTTCCGAGCAGAGATGTTTCTTAGTCAGTTGGTTCAAGCCCCATACCGGTATTTCAATAGGAGCAAGGGTAACAATACCGGTAGTACCGGTAAGGGGGTGGTGGCAGTTGGAGTCAACCACATGCCGACCCGGAAGTGCCGGCTCTGACATGTTTATGGTTAAACCCAGCATCCGCACAGCATTTGTAAAGGTGAGAAAAAAAGAAATGAAAGTGCAAGAAAAATCGAAATAATTGTGGAAAAGAGTGGACACGCAAAGGCACTGCACCGACTTACAGCAAGTTACCGATACCGGTAGTGAGCAAAAAACGCCAATCGAGGTCTACCCGTAGCCTCTAGAATCCTAATGAGCAATACACTCCACGACAATTCAATAACGAGTGCCTGCAATGGTTACTAGTTCTCTCCACGTCGGCCGCTGTAAATGTGCAATGGATGATAGGATATTAATAGCATACCGTAGGTATCAGAAGCCTTTCCCTGCCGGGGTTATGCCTACCGGTATCTGATCTAGATTGAGTAACCGTAGTAGAATCGGACCGAAGGACGAGCTGCAGACCTCTCCTTAGGCGTATGTGTACGAGCACAGTACTATGTTGTACTATACAAGTACAAATACACGTGGGAAAAGCAACGATAGAATCCCGGTCGATATCGTACCAGCGGTACCGGCACTTGTTGTGTTAGAACACAAGAAGAAGGGAATTCTGAATAGGGTAGAGATCGCAGGGTGGGGTGTGAATAGAGCGGGAGAGTGAATTGAAAGGGGGCTCTTTCGGAGATAGGAACCGGTAGCCGCTGTCATCGGCGTTACCTGGCTATGTTTTCGGGTTCCCGCCACCTGAAGGACAGCTCGCAGCTCGGAACCAAACCTGCGTAGTAGGTGTGCCAAGCCACTATAAACTAAGCGAAGTGATGGGGGCTGAGAGAGGAGGGAAATCTCTCTCTTTTTTTTTTTTTTTTTTTGACAGGGGAGGACATCATTATCACCATCATCACCACACATGCGAATAGAAGGCCTGTACCGGTACAGTACCTGAATGTGTTCGTACCGGTGCACACTGTTTAAGCACCGAAGGCCTAAGGCATAAGACAGACGGATAATAGGGGAGGATCAATCGGAGGAATGGTTTGACTATCAATGAAGGCGAAGGAGTATTTACGGCCCCTGCGAGGAGGGGGCATTGATTTCAATTAACCCACCACCGGTGGTCTACAGCATCATGCGCTGAAACATCAATGCTTCTCCATTTAATAGAAACACGCAAAGTCCATGTCCAGTATCAGCACGAGTACAGTACCGATATGTCCACGGCCATCACAGACACTGTACAATACTCGTAGGGCACTCGAATTGATCTACTCGAGTAATGGTGGGGTCATGCAGCCGCTTGTTTAGCCACACACCGGGGAACCGCATCAAAGGGTCCAGCAGCCGCTTGTTTTTTCGCTCTGTAACCCACTCGAACCTGATGCGGCCACTAAATCGTTTTCACCACACAGACAGCCCAGACAGACAGCCTTAGAGTTGATTGTTTTCTGGGGAAAGATACCGGCGCTCTATGGTTGAGTAGTCTACTCGATTGAGAGGGTTGATGTGTGAGATGGAATGAACCCCTCCCCCCCCGGCGGGCAAATTCACAAAGTAGTTATCCCGAGCACAGCACAAGGCTCGCAATACAGAACAGTAATACGGCATGAAGCATAAGAATTGAACTTACTCCTTACAACTCTCTTTACCAATCCATAGAATGTTGGGGAAGGTGAAAGGGAATGGAAATGGGATATGGGATATGGGAAATAGGAATGGAAAAAGTAAGTAAAGGTAAGAAGTAAGAAAAGGATCAGTGCAGATACAGCATTCAACAGAGAGACTGTGCGAGAATAATAATAATAGAAATCTGTACGAGTAGATCAACGATTGATGAAGGACAAGACATATGATACTTTCAAAGCTATAATACTGCAATATAGAAGAATAAGGAATGTTCATCAACCTTTTACGCCTTCTTCTAATTATGCTTCCCCTTCCTCTGAACTCCTACCTTACAGTATACCCGCATGCCCTAATCCTTTCTTCAACGCCCCATTTACCCCACCCCTCCGCGGATTATCCCATGCGATCCTCTCTCTCTTGCTTACATCAACACCATCATCATAACCATCATCATAACAGTCATCATAACCACTATAACCTTCATAACTATCCTCCCAGTTTTCTTCCCGTGTTTGCCTCCACTTTCCAATTCTCCTCCCTTCCTCAAACACCCCATCACAACCATCCCATCTCGCTACCGCAGCAACAACCCGCTACTTCCTACCCCCCGCCCTCTCCCAATACCGGTAGCCCTCGATTACAACACCCAGCCCACCGGGTGCGTAGCAGTTGAAATTAAGCTCCCCTCTTCCAACATCCCACCACAACCACAACCCGTTTTTTTCCCTTCCCTTCCCACTTACAACACCACCACTACCCACAAACCATAACCGCAACATAACCCACAACAGTCGCAAGCTCTTCGGCCATGACAAAGGATAGCATCCTTCTATCGCTCCCCGAAGAGGTCATCGAAAATACCCTCAAATTTATCCCAGATGACGACAGTGCTCTACTTGATATCAGTTTGGTCTGCAAGAAACTCTATCGCCTCTCGAACTCTCCATTAGAATGGCGGACAAGGTGTCGACGGTTTCGCTACTGGGAGCCTCGGCACGAGTACCAGAAAAAGGTCAAACACCCTCTGCCAGCTGAGGTGGATTGGAGGTCTTTGTTCGTTGAGAGGATCTATTCGTACAAACGCACTACAATGTTGTTGAATGAGATCATTTCCTCGCCTGTAGATCGAATAAACAAATTCAATAAAATCGCGGACATTGGCTGCGATGCGAAGGATTGCTTGGCAGAACACGCAAATGCTTCTGACGACGTTGAGGACGTTCTAGCTCGGAGGTGACTTCAATTTTGGTGTTTTTTTCATGTGCTCGGTTTTTCGTCGAGATACTGGGGAATAGATTGATATACTAACCCATATTTCCAGATGGTATGCAGCTGCCGCCATCCATTATATCCATAGGAGACAGGCCATAATGGGATGGAAGAAATTGGCTTCCGGGGAGGACATCTCTCTTGAATATGCCCTAGGCTGCTTTGAGCTTTTTATCCTGAAGACACCGGAAGGCGATATCGACGACATCTCAGGGATACTCGACGAGTTAGCCGCCCGGTTCAGGTCCGAGACCGCCAATTTTGCGGACATGTCGACGAAAGCGAAGGCACTTGCTCTGTGTACATACATGAATCGGGAAGGATTTCGGGGAGCTTCGTACGAGAGTTACCGCGCCCTCAAGAACGCCTTCATTGGCGTTTCCCTGCGTACAGACCGTACGAACCTGCCACTAACCGCAACAGCAATATACTGTAGTCTCGCCACTCGGGTAGGCCTAGCCGCGTATCCATGCAGTTTTCCGTATCATGTCTTGGCGATAGTACGCAACGAGGATGGAAACTACATTTATCTGGACCCCTTCCGCGGAGAAGGCAGTGACCTCCCTGTTCAGGGCCTAGAACATCAGCTGAGCGAGTTGGGAGTTGGAGCCACAAAGGATGAATTCCTATGTCCATCGCCAACCACCGACATTGTCCTACGTACCTCACGCAATATACTAGAGTCTCTCCGACGTGCTCCGGGGCCACCCGATATCCAGCAGGAAGCTGTCGAAATTGACCGTCATTCAGCTCTATATGCGGCCCTAACAGCGTCAGCGCTATTGGGGCCGCGGATCACGCTGAATGTGGTACAGCATATGGCAAGACGCATCCAGGACGAGTATTCCATGGACGTCCAGTTTTTCGAGGAGGACATAGTCCCCAAGCTGGAGGACCGGAATGCGCGGGAACTCCTGTTAGAGAAGTGCGGAGAGCTGCGGGCAGAGGATTCTGCTCAAAGACCCGTTTCCCGGAGAGAGAACTCGGATGGGAATGACGTTAGGGTATGTGCTCAATCACTGCTGTTCCGATTGGTCCGAGTGCAGACCCATCGGGAATAAAGATGCCAGGATTCGGGATGGGGAAATTTTGGGGTAGGGAACACCCCAAAATATACATTATAATACCCGCTTGAAAATCATTCCGAATCTGGCATCATTCCCACATGGATCTACGTGGGGAATCTGCAATTTTCTGACTATCTTGTTCGACTAGTACCGTGTCGGAACTGTCTTCGTTCATAAACGATATCCATTTCAAGGGGTAGTGTTTGGCTGGTCACGAACGTGCGCTCCAAGAGAGGGAGAGGAGTGGATGCAGACTATGGGTGTTGACACTTTGAGCAGAGGACGGCACCAACCATTCTACCTTGCGTTGTATGTTCACCTCCCCCCCCACACACACACCCGAGATAGATATCTTTATAAGGAGAAAAAAATAACAAAAATACAGAGTGATGGACGGCAGCGTACGCTACGTAGCAGAAGAGAACATCGTCGTTTCCCAAACGGACCCGGTCGAGTCTCTGAAAAAGCTGGCGGGCAAGTACTTTAAGAGATATTCCAGGGCGGAGAGAATGTTTATTTCCAACATCCGCGACGAGTATCCCGACGATTAAAAAAGTTGAAGCCCCTATTTTCCCATCGCCTCTTTCTACTTTTCTTTTCCTTGTCAAGATGCATATTTCGAGGGAGGGGGCACGTCTAAACATCTATTGCTCCCCTCCTTCCCACTTTTCTCGTCTCAAATGCCGCATTTTCACGGTTGCATATTATCATTTGTTTGGCGCATCGATGGAGTTTTCCCCTTCTCCCTGTTCTTCTCTCAATATTATCACCTACATTAATCAAGACCCCGGCCACCATGATGTCACGTTAACCATTATTCTAAATTCCTCTATGTACAGGATCCTCTGCGACTTGGTGACTAGGTCCGAGTGATACCTCATGGACCTCTACCTACCATCCATCCAATATCTTACTAAAACCCCAACCGCCCCAAGCCACTCCCCCAGATGTGATACATAACTTATCATACCGGTGTTACTGCTCGTACACTTGACCTCTTCCAGCCCCGCCAATCCATATTGCACGAAACCACACCACAAAAGCTAACCCAGCCCCACCTCACCAGCACCCGTGTCCTCCAACCTCCCATACCATACCATCCCATCCACCGCCGTCAAAGAAAGGGTCAAGTCGAGTTGGAGTGCCCTCAATATTCGCGTAAAGTACAGTACACTACCAAGACCGCATCCCGCACATGTGGAGGTTCAACTTTATTTTAGTTATGATACAGTATTACGATATTGACTTCTCCGTTCGTTCCTTTTCCTGGGGGGGAGGTTCAGGGTTATCTGTGGTGGTGTCGTAGCGCTGCATTCCCTGGTGATGGCTTTGCTGGGAGGTAGGGGTGGGTATGTCAAATACTTCGCGATAACAATTGAGCTTAAAAAGGCAATGTAGGGAAAGAAATGTAAGCAAAAGGCTCCATAATAACCACAACAACAATTTAGCTCAAGAAGTCGAGCAATACAAGTAAAACTAGTTTACACGTAGTGAATAAAAAGGCTTAGCAGCGAGCAAGAAGTGAAGGGATGGTGAAAGAAAAGAAAAAAGGATAAAGTACGTGTACAGCACGAGTAGTATACATGATGGGATATACAAGTACAAGGACAAGGTCAAAGACAAATAAACTGGTTAGGATAATATAACATTAGTATTGCCGGTAAAACCACCCGGCAAAAGTCTCCGTGAAACGGAATTCTTGTTCCTCGTGGAACGGGTCCCCAACTCGCACAGACTCCAATTGCGCAAAGCCCCCCTTTACGCCACCGTAATCTCCGTCAGAGAGGGCTCCGTTTCACACAAAGACTTTAGCCAACTGACTACGCATCTCATCTGGTCTCATCCCGTTTCATCCCGTCCAGTGACAACTCCATTCCGCGCCCACAATGACCTGACCCCCCCAGAATCCCCTTTCCAGCGCAACGCCTATCCGTAATGATACGATATGATAGCAATGAGTCAGGGAATGCAATTATTATTTTGATTTTTGATCTTCTTTTTCCGAAAAATACCAGTAGTGTGATGTGAGTGTGAGCGAATGCTAACAGGAATCATCGAACGAGCACACCAGCATTTGCCAGGAGCGTCGAGATATCTTTATCTTCAAAACCATTGAGTTTTCCGCTCTCCAGCTATTCATCTATCGTTAGTATCACTCGCTATCTTTGAGAAAAGCGAAGAATAAATACCTGTAATAAAACAGGCGACGGCTGCGCAGATATTACCGCCGTGAGGTATCCGCTCACCAAGGTTTCTTCGAAAACCGCCCACGTGTGCTTTTCTGCCAATCGGTCGAGGTGCGTTTCCAGAGGCGTGCTGTCCGGTGGTAAGACCTTCCCGCTCGCCCGTCAATCATTGCCGACAAGGGTACGAGTAATTTGCCAGGATCAAGGGGAAGAAAAAGCATACCTCTAATAGCGCCTCAGTCTTCATCTTCTCGAATAATATACCAACGCTCCCGCCATCGCCGCCAAACATTTCGTTGACCACGGTTTCATCATCATCTAGTCCGTCTCCACCAACTGTAGGCCCCCAAGAAAAGCATTCGTTCAGCGCGTCTATCCCCTTCGCACCCTCGCATCGGTACGCCTCGAGGACACCCTGAACCATATAGTTTGTCGCAGTCTCCATCCACAGAGTGCTGACCTCGTCATTGAAAGCGCATGTCCAACTACTCAGGATCATGAACTCATTCAAACCTTCGCGGAGAGAAATATTTCCCCAGTATATCCGCTGCGCAGCTGGCAGGCCAGAGAACCCCATCTGGCGGTGCATCTCCTCCGTATTGCGACGGAGGTTTGACGGTGCAAAAGGGGTTTGCGAGAATTCGAACGCGATCGGGACATTGGATGATGGTGATGACGATGAGGTCAAGTCCTCAATGACGTTGCTAGCGCGTTTGCGTGAGAGCCAGGCGCGTGTTCGTGCACCGGATTGCGACACTCGAGTGAATGTCGGACTCGTTGCGTCGAGTCTGCGCAACAAGACTGTTGCGAAACGACAGATGCGCTGACGAAGGGCGATACTATCCGGGAGAATAGCATTGGGGTGGAGACGCTTGAAGGTTTGGGTGAAGGCTGATCATTTGCGCGAGCATATTAGCACGGAAGAAGCAGAAAAACTAAGAGGGACGGGGGAGGGTGATTACAATTGACCAGACGCATCCCCATATCAGCAGATTTCGCTGCGTCCGTCCACTCCTGCTTCGCGACATGATCATCTAATCGCAGTTGTCGCTCTTTCAGAAGGCTAGATGTACAGAACCATAGCAGGTAGTCCAGGATCAATTCGTCAACATGCAATCTTGTAGTCACTTCGTGGGAATCCATATTTGCGGCGGGCATCGCGCCGACTGGTCGTAGTGGTTGAGGTAGATCTGCGCCGATAGATTGGATATGGGAGGGGTATTATTGGAGAAGAGAGGAAGGAAAGAGCGAGGGTGGAGGGGATAAGGAAGATGAAAATATGGATAGGGGAAGTGATCACGATGGGGAGAAAAGAGATAGGGGGGAGGGGGGGGGAGGGGGGCGGTGGGGGGGTAAAAAAAGAGTGAGAGTTGGTGAAAGAGGGAGCGGAAGGGACTAAAGAACTTTACTCTGTTTGTTCTGTGCATGGTATGATATAATAGGTATATCTCCTTGATGTAGTTCTAACCTCCATGTGGAGATAAACCCCGTATGATATAAATATCGCATCTGGATGTTTGTTCCCTTCTTTTTTTTTCTTTTTTTTTTCTTTTCCTTCTACTTTCTAATTCGTTCTCCTTACCTCGCTCCTCTGATACCGGCAGCTCACCGACGCCTTAGGTTTGCTTCCCTTTCCCTATTTTGCAAATTCCTTCTTGTTTTCCCCCCTTTCCTTTTCTCTACTCGTGAAGGGAGTTCAAGGGGTAGCCCGACTAGTGTGTGGGGAGGAGGACCATCTCGCATCTCGCCCATCGCGAGAAAGCAAGACATGCAGACATGGAGGGAGCCTTTGGGGGAAAAAAAAATAAAGCGAAGGGAGCGGTCCGGAAGGAGAAAGTGAAGAGTTTCAGGAACGTCCGTGCGCTGAAAAGGATATTTTAATTTCCTTCCCGTGCCAAGGGGTACCAGCACCGCACTGTATACTTGAGTACAGCACAGCAAAAGCAAAGCACAGCCCTGGGGTTGAAGAAATAAAGCGCTTTTCGAGTGAGATATCATGAGTACAGCAGTTTTCTTGCTTTTCTCTCCTTGAAATATTGGCGTACATGATACTAGTACAGTATTGAAGAACCAGTAGTAGTATGATATCTCGTCACGTAGTCTGGGGTAAGAGCTCAAAGGGATATTTCTACTGGGATAGTACGAGTACAGTGTCATGTTGGTGCAAAAACATGATGAAAAGGGATCTCAGTTCGTGTTTGTGTGATACGGTGCCGGTACAGTACCGGTACAGTACAAGCTCTGTGCCCATGGTGTAATTTACAGCAATTTTGACTGACCCGGATCTTCTCTACCCGTGCACTATTTCGGCGCTGTATCATACTCGCTGCACAGTACGGTAGGTACTGTACTCGTACAGTACTCGTACATTCAGGTGCAGTGTGCGCAGCACTGGCACACTTGTCCTGGGCTATTTTCAAGCCTTCAATTCCTTAGAACCCGTGCCCTTTGTCCACGGCAGATCACAAATCACTCGCCTCAGAGCTATCATACTCCTTCTCATCCATTCCCACCACTTATAACATTACCCCCTTAAGTCATGAAGCCCTCGTATTCCGCTTCCTACCGAGTGGCCTGATACCGAAGCCCGTCCCGCTCGTTTCTCTGCCCTGAGAACCTCGATCGGGGAATAACGAGTTACAGCAACGTCCCGTGGATGGTACAGTACAGTACCGTACTGGGCCAGCCATGCTTCAGCGTTGGGGAACAAGACCGGTTCGACAATGATCTCCAAGTCCGCATGACGCACACGATTTTTATGAATATTCATTGGTCGCCTTCAACGGCATTTGTCTTGCCTGCACTGGTATATCTTGTGCAAGGGGGAAAAATGCAGCTCAGATTTGCATGCGCGTGTGCTCGCGGAGCCAAGAGTTGGGAGGAAAGGTTCAAGATTCGAGTACCATCGATTGCAATCTTTCACCTCGTCCGCACCGGGGTATAAGCACTATATTCAATGGGGAAAAATTGTGAAAAATTGCAGGATTATTTTTTTCCTGCAGTTTTTAAGCAACATTTTCTGGAAGAGTTTTCTCACTTGAAAAGTTTACTCTTTTCTCTTAACTCCCGCCGAGGGTAACAAATGTTAGTGGCTTGAGACTTTCCATCAGGCACATCAACTCTAAGAAGGATCCACAATATCTATCTCAATAATTGGACTAAGAAACGGAAAAGGATTTTTACTAGAAGCTCTGGAAATGTTTAGTTCAATTTTTAACCTATTTTCCGTGGCTATCTTCACCAATATTCACTTGTTCTGGGAGTGCAAAGTCAATGTCTTACGGTGGTGTGGGCAAGGTCAAGGATTGCAGCCGATGGTATGCGATGACATGTTAAACACATTCCCCCGCAATCGATGGTATTTTGGACCCTTTCTCAAGAGTTAGACCCCGTCTGTCGTGCGCTCGCTCAGTATTCGAATCATTTGCACGCCGCGCAATGTGCACAACAACTTCGGGATGTTTTGTTGGTACGGTATGCAATTATTCCCTGCCCGAGTGCTCTGAGCTCAATCAATGTCTACAGTTGGTGCAGCGCACGAATATCTCCGATTGAATAGGGCCCGTATTCCGGTACCGCCGGGGTTTATCATATTGAGCAATCCCGTGGCTGACAGATCTCGGAAAATGTTTTGGGAGCCTGCTCGAGAATTTGAGACCTTGTTGGGTCTTATGTACGTGTACAGTACAGTACATCTCCACGCTTTCCCAGAGAATCGAGAGACCGATCTTAGACACTGCACAAACATCTTTTTTCTCCTTCCCGCGTAGAGAGCGGGAGATACTAAGCACTCTAATACTTGAGGGCTCATCCTCCGGCCTGGTAGTGGGAGTACCGTAGCATCTCATGTATGATTCCTTGATCGTACCGTCTGCGTTTTGGGGAGAGTGAGCAATCCACACGATGCTGGATGTCCTGCCTGGGCCGATTATCGCTCCGGCAGCGCCCGCTCAGAACTCCATGTCGGGTATACATCTCTCTGTACCTCGCTCATTTCATGCCGCTGTTCTTCATGCTAAGAACTGCTCGAGGCTTCGGGAACGCTGAGGCATGGTGATTTATTGGGGAGCGGAATGGCGTATATTCGGTGAAAGAGACACGCTAGAAACATGCAGACTCAAGACAGAACGGGCGGACGGGTGGGAATCCCTAGAATATCCCCCTTTCCGTCAGGATACCGGTAGACTAACGGCACTCGTGGCATTTCATTCTGAAGATAGATAGCACTTAAATTATACGGTTCCGGAATGCTCCTAATAATATACCAGATTGCCCATTCGGATATATAATCCAGATATGATCTCACCGACGCTGAGTGAAACAGTTTCTAAAATCCCGCTCGGCAGCCTGGAGAAACAAAGGGTAAAAACCAATGTGTGGGATATGGTGCACTGGATCATGAAAGTTGTCTGTCTATCAATTGTACGGGCTTGTATCGTATGCGACTATATTTGTGATTAGGTAGATGGTGCGCTGGGTATGATAGGGAGATTTGAGTTCGTAGGCATCATAGACTAACTTACTGTGCAGTACTAGTACAGTACATACAAAGGCAGAGTGCAGCTTTGAGCTGTTTTTTCTCACGCCTCGGAAATGTCCGTCTTGGCACACCATTCCTGCGGCTCCAAAAAGGTCTTTTGTTGTCTAACCTTCGAGCAAACGCCTCCGCAACTACCATCATGGGCTCAACAAAGACAAAACGCAAGGATGCCGGAGATAAGAGTGCGAAGCGCAAGAGGAGAAAGAAGGCCCGCACTGAAGGTATGCTTTTCCTAGCGATGGGGAGAGGGGACGGCAGTTAATCGTGGCAGTAGTTTCCTCTAGTTCCGAGAGCAGCAGTAGCGACAGCGAGAGTGAAAATGAGGCTGTTAGGGAACCAGTGGAGGGGACTCGAGTTGAGGAAGAAGAGAAGGCAGAAGCTGTTTGTATTTCCAGCCCCTTATAAAATTGGTAATAAAAGACAATACTGTAGCTAACAATAAGATCAGCCCGTGACAGTCGAAGGTTCCGACTCTGACGCAGAAGTTGACGCTGCCGCGAAATTTTCTAAAGTACCATACCCAGCCAAGTTACCCCACCACCTAGTCACCCAATCCCACCCATTAAAACCGATGAAGGAGGAACACCTAGCTAATGAAAAAATGAATCAAAAAAAAAAAACGCAGAATGGCAGAATCCCACCCCAATTGCAAGACCTCCATGACTCCCGTGCCGACGAAAAATTCCAAGAGTACTACATGACCTACATCACCCGTGAACACGCCGACGATCTCGAGACTCTTCGCTCAGCGCCAGACTTCACCGATCGCTCCTTGCCACTGCTCATCCGTGCGCTCCGTTCAGGTGTGGACATCTTCAACAAAGAGGAGAAAGCAACGATCGTCGGTCTCGCTCAAGAGGGCGAGACCCACTAACCTGTCGAATCCGTATCGATGAGCCGGTTGTCGACAACGTAGTCCCTTGCACGGAAGGTGGGCGTTTTTTCTAGGGATGGCCAGAGAGGGGGAGGTTTCTGGTCGTTAAGAGAGCGCTCTTCACGGCGGATTAGTGACTCTGTGCTATCGAGTTTTGCGCTGGTGATTTTTATGGTTGTTGAAATGCGGGATATTAAGACCTTTTTACACACATAAAGAAATTACCATTTCATATCGTTAGCCTGCGGTCTGAGATTTGTGGAAGTGATGGGAGAGAGAAAACCTCGAGTAGATCAATCTGCCGATACACATTCTTCAATTCCATCGCGATGGGAACCAACCGCTCCGCCGTCGGCTCTATGATATTCGATATCTGTGATTGCGTCTACCATACCCCTCCCCATACCCTCCAAATCAACATCACATCCTACTCCTCCGCAGCCAAACCGTGGAGCAAGAGAAAAATAAAGTAAAAGAACAAAAACGAAAAAATAGAAATAGAAACCCACATCCTGTAACCCATCCTTCACCCCACACAAGTTCTCCTCACACTCACTCGTCAACCTACCAATATTCGTCGCCTAAGATAACAAACCAATTAGCCCAAACCCGCCACCACCCACCATGCAAAGTATGGAGGGGGGGGGGATAAAACAAACCAACGGCGCAAACAGTCCCGACCGAATATACCCCGCTATCTCGACCGCTACTTCGGGCGGTAATTCGTACTGCGGGTTCATATCTGGCATTCCCTCCTTTTTCCTATAGCGAGTGAGCGGGGGAGGCGCGGGGGGGGGACTACGAGTGGGTTAATTTTTTTTTTCCCAGTATGATACCGGTAAATTGGGATTTGGTATTTGTGGTGCGATGAGATGGCGATGACGATGGAGATGGATGGGGGAAGGAAGGAAGGTGGGGTCCGTGCGTTGTGGGTTAGGGTATCATGACTTATTGTTATCGCATGAGTGTGGGAAGGAGAGACGGAGTGGGGTGGAGGGGTGGTCATGGGGGCTCACTCGGGGGTTGTTACGGGGTCGGTTTTAGGTGTGGGGGGTTGGGGCGGCGGGTGTATGGTATGCGTGTAACCTTATGGGACGGGTTTCTTACACTTTTATCCTTGTACTACTAGCACATCCCTTGGGTTGGGTTTATGCCATGTATTTATGGTATAGTGACTATCTTGAGCTATGATAGGAGAATGGTAATGTGGGTGGTTTTGAAACTTGAAGAATAGTTTGCATTCTTACTCGTACTGTATCAAAATGTCATGATACTACCGTACCGGTACTCCTTACTGTGTTGCACCAACAGGCTAGCCTCCTTCTTGGCTTCGCTTCATCCTCTATCCGTCCATCCATTTAATCCGTCGACTTGCAACAGGATACATAACTTGTGATAAAAAAGACACGCACACACATAAAGGAAAAATAAAGTAGAAGAATATTACAAATAAATTTTTTTCCTCCTCCTATGAATATGAAATGAAAGTAGGAGTAAAAAAGGGGGGGCGGGGGCTATTCGTCGTTACTGCTTTCGAACTAGGTGTCTATCCACATGAAGGAAATATTGCGGGGATGGTAATGATGAAGGAGGGGGGAGGGAGAAGCCCGCTATAACAATGACAATGGGTTGGGGGTTACAGGAATAGAGAGAGAAGGGAGGGATTATGCTGAGAAGGAGCGGCCACGGTTACGGCCGCCTCGGCCTCCCTGCTGGCCTCCCTGGCCACCTTGTTGACCTCCCTGACCACCTTGCTGACCGCCCTGTTGTCCCGGAAATGCGTTAGTATTGGGCAGAATATCAAATCTCTAGAATCTTCAAATACCTGGTTGTTATTGTTGCCAGCATTGTTCCCAGCATTATTATTTCCACCCGCATTTCCTTGGCCGACAGTAAATTTCGTGCAATCGTCCTGGGCACCACGCTGGGCAATCGGCATGATCACCGGCTGGTGATTGGACGCACTGGCCATAGTGCATATGCGGTAGAAACCCGCTGGCAGACCGTCCGCAACCTCGGCCTCCAACAATCCGTTTCCGTTGCCAGCATCATTGATACCTTTGAAGAAAATAAAGTCGTCGGCGTTGGGCGCAGCAGTGGGTGTTAAGCTTCCACCGAGATCTTGGACGGTTACGTGCGTGTGCCCGACGATTATACCGCCATTGAGAGTTTGTGGCGCAGCGTAGTATGTGTTTGCTGGATTGGTGAAGGAACCAGCAGCTAGGTTGTCTACTTGTACCTGCACCGTGAAAGCTGTGTCTGGTTGGAGGTCCTGGCCTGGCTGCGGGTTGATGATGATACTTGATACCATGTTTGCTGTCGATGGGATATCCCCCATGACTGCCATTTTGTTAGAGTGGGCCCGATCATGGACAAGCGATATGGCGTACCAATTCCATTACATGATCCAGCCTGTACTTGCAGACCGTTTGTCAATGTCTTTCCGGTACAGAAATTGATAAAGTTGGCGTCATCTCTAAAGCGCCGTTAGCTCCCGTTCAAATTATCCCGTTTGAATGAGGTGTAACATACGTAGCAGAATCGGCCTGACCAGCTTCAGCTCCACCCTCTTGACCAGTCGCCTGTGAAGCTTCCTGAACGTTCGCAGGGTCTAAAAGCAGTGCGTTATTATCCTGGTTATTGTTTTGGTTATTGTTCTGGTTGTTCTGATTGTTGTTCTGATTGTTATTCCCGGTATTATTATTGTTACCCCCGTTATTCCCTCCACGATTGCCTCCCCCATTGTTATTCTATTACAGCGCTCAGCAAAACTTACTTTTCCAAGCTCGGGGGTAAAGAGGGGCAAGTGGGGTGCTGGAGAGGGGAGGAGAAAAGCGTACCTGTCGAGGAACTAAGTCCAGACCTCGAGCGTGGACGTTATATGGGGAAGTAGCGGATGCAAGCCCCGCAGAGGCGAGCAGAACAACGGAGAAGACAGGAACAATCATAATTGCGCTTTTCAAAAGTCGAGCTTAGGCAAAGAGTACCGGACGAACAAATGCGAGAAACTTGAAAAAAACTCCCAAAGAATGGTATAGAATAGAAGCTACGATCAACGTAATCTCGGCCGGCGAGCTAGAAAGTTAGGAGGAGGAAAAGAAAAAGAAGGAAGAATGAAAATAAAGAATGAAAACCCCTTTCCCTTAGGACTTTCGGTAGGCTGGTAACTAAGGTGTTGGATAGAGGTGAAGAAGTGGAGTGGGTAAGAAAAAAATAAATCTCGAGTGAAGGAGAGTCTTGGAGTCTTTTATTTCATGTCCATTCTAACTAACTCCTACTCTGCACTAGTACCGGTACTCCTGGGATTCCAAGTTTCTTCTTTGTTCCCCTCTAGGGGTATTGCCGCTCCCCGTACAGGTTCTTTGCGGTTGTTGGACGTTGAAACCATATATCACCACGACAACGTATCGGGCTTGTTTCGAAGGAACCCTGTAGCCATTTTCATGCACACGGGACAGTGTTGGCTCTCGGGCCAGTCGGGGGACGTGCTCTTCCTCTCTCTCCCTTCATCATTGCTCCTTCCTGATGAATTCGGGGGGGAGGGGGAAGGTCAAGGAAATGTAGCGGGTCTACTTGTTGGAGACGAGGGGCGGGTTAGTGGAGCGGAGGAAATAGGGGGGGGGGTGGAGAACGAAAATGCCCGTCACTGCACGATAAAGTTAACCTTCAGTTGGGCGCTACACTCCTTTGGCTACTAAGCGACGGTCTTATCCTTCCTATTAGGGTAATTGGGGTTGTAGTGGAGTCTTCTGGTTGGGGTTTCATCCTGAGGCTCGTCCCTGCAACAACCAGTGTCAACTACAGAAAAAAAGGAGCTGAGCAGTCGAACTCGGGGCTGTCAAAAGTATGCCCAGGGATGAGCTTCGGGTCTCCATCTCAGCATCCAAGAGGAAAGAAAGGATTACCTACTACCTACTCGAGTACCAGTACTATCGGTAGGGTATTCTTCTAAGAACCCCTACCCTAATGTCCCTAACCAAGGTCCCAAGACCCCCCAACCCCCCAACCTCAAAAATCCCGCCTAGTAGTACAAAATGCCCTCAAACCACTACCGTACTTCTCCGAGTATGGTACTAGTATCATAATACCAGTATTATATCATACCCGTATCATACCATAAGGTACTCTACCGGTAGTATTTTACCGGTATCGACATCCAGGACTGTACGAGATCGTTGTGTTGCTCCACTGCCATGTTTACCAAACGCGCCCCAACACCCAGCCCCCCACCGTATTGGAATGTGCTCATAAGCTGTGCTGTGCTACATTCCTAACCCCCTCATGAGATCCAAAGAATCTTCTTTTAGAGCAATTGTCTCTCCCCCCTCTCAGTTACCGTCATACTGGTAGTCGTTTAGGCTCAACTTCAATAACAAATATAACTTTACTAAACTCACTACGGTAGCGAGGAGTCCAGGGCAGCCATGTGAGGGGCCACCGTGACACTGTGGTACAGTACTGTAGGGCCCAAGATTACTTGTATTAGCGCAGGGTCAAGCACGCAAACCACATGCAAGAAGGGTGTTGAAATCCCGGGGCGACCGAGACTTCAGGAAGGGAAAGGGTGCTAACTCGAACGGCCGTTGTCAGATAGATCTGTTCCCCAATGGATTGGATTTCGCATCCTACCACCCGTACTGTACGAGTACTATTTTATCAGAGTGGAATTCATAGTCGGTTACAAGTTGCTGACAATATCCACTGTCCAGACCAAGGGCAGCACCGTTTTTCTCGAAGAGACTCCGTGTGTATATATTTCGCACTATTATGGAGGGTGCGCTGTGCCTTGCGGGATTGCTGCTGCTGCTGCTGTGGCTTCCTTCCCAGGACTTCCGGGAACCTTACGAAACGCGGAGAGCTGTTTCACACACCGTGCTTGCTCAATAATCACTAATATAAATTCACTCTACCGTACCTTGCCGACAGACCGTGGCATCTAGAAAGCCTCCCCCAAATAGATGTCTTGGCTCTAGACTTTCTGTGGATGAAAGCCGCCAAATGTATTGACCATGCTAATTCCCAACAGATGCACACACACATTTAGGTATGAGGAAGAAGAAGATTTGTGAATTAGAGGCGCATAGGATAATGGTGCCTGGTTGGATAAGGTAGGTATTGCATCAGTATTGAAGTGCGCTGTTCTGAGTACACCAGGGCCAAACAACGAAAGAAGACTAGTCTCATCCACAACATTTAACTCTAAAAGCCTAATGTATCCTGCGAAATCTCACTCGCCCGTGTTCCCCGACACTTCACAACGCGTCCCTCGTCTTGAAGAACCTACTAGTGATTACCATGACTTCCCCAAACACCTTATCCACGGGACCTCGCACGAGGCCATTCTGAATCCACTTGGGAAGCTTTGAAGCTATCCTGTCCGTGGAATACCTTCTGTCAAAGAGCGCGATTACGGCGTAATCCTCTCTGTGTCTAATAGCCCTACCAATGCTCTGGTTGACGGCCCTCATGCAAGCGTTCTCGTAGAATTCCCTACCAGCCGCCTTCGCAAAGGCATTGCATGCTGTGGTTTCGGAGGATGGCAAATCCATGGAAGCTCCGCAGTAAGAACTCTGAGCCACCTTCTCCGCATGTTCCAGCTTTGCCCGCCACTCAGCGGTATTGCTATTGGGGAAGGGCAAACCGACCATGATGATCCCACGGCCAAGACTGGTTATATTATTGTCCCCGGTCAGTCTTGTAACGCTCTGAGTGAAGGGTGCGAGACCGTACTTGTCGTTGAAGTTTATCCCTTCTGACATTTTCCCGCCAACAACTGACAGGAGAAGACCTCCTTTGCCGCTGTCTATCGCTTGCGCATACTCTCTGAGCACTTCTTCAACACTGCTTCCGTCACTGGACTCCCGGAAGACCTATAGATTTGAGTCGCGACATTAGCAATACGTCAGAGGGGATAAAGAATAGGCTACCGGTACCGTTTTTCGATCTTCGAGACGTTCCCAGAGGGATTTGGCGGCAGTGTTGGATGCGGGGGTGGGCTTCTTGCGCCATTGGGAAACAACGAATTCCAAATATGCATAACTGGGAAAGAAGCAAACGACCCCATGCGGGATCACTTGACAGAGGTTTACGATAGCCCTACCCAGCTCCTCAATCTGAGACCATTAGGGGACGAGAAGAGCAGTAGTTGAGCTGCTGGAGAACGAACCATGGCAGGCTGCATTCGTTTCTCAAAGGTGAACTCAAACTCCCTTCCACCTGGTCCTTTAGTTACCGGTAAAGCAGTTAGGTTCTCTTTCGGGATGACATGTCCGCAGGATAACGTGCGTATCTTTTCCTTTGGCAGGTAAGGGAAAAGGTGGTTTGTGTAGTCGTTCATCTAGTACTAATTAGAAACCGCATCTTTAAACGCATTTGCAAATACTTGTTACCGGCTCCATTGTTCCGCCGGCTAGTATTACTGCCCTAGCTTCCTCCACGATTTCCTGGAAATGGTGAGCTGGATCCAACAGCATATACCTGAGACATGTATCATTTTTATCCTCGGTTTTACCATGGAAAAGCTTTCCCTCCGCAGAAGGGTTTGTCAAGGCCAGCAAGAAGCCCTGGATATGCGTTAGAACGGGTATGGAAGCTGTTGGCTGGAGGGCCTTGGCTCCTCCGGGTTTGTTAGGTAGCTTGTTCTTCTCCTGCTCTTTGGCCTGCTTATGCACGATGTAGCCTTCCACTTTGCGCGCTAGCTTGCTCTCGTTAAGGTATGTTTGGAGTTTGTAGAAGTTGACCTGGTCGATCCCTTGCATAGCCAGAAGGTCGCCTGGAGCGATAACTCCTTCTTTGGATTTCTTGGAGATTTCTTCTAGGTATGATGCGAGCGACGCTATGATTCGCAAGGTCTGCATGACGTAGACTTTGTTCTTACCCTTTAGTCTATTTTTAAACCTTGCCAAATAAATGTCGAGTTGAGATTTGGAGCGCTGCAGCTGAGCTAGAGAAACCGTAATAGAGTAAATTGACGATATCGCGTTTATCAAGTTATGTGCTTCGTCTACGATAACTATATGGCCCTTTAGAGAAAGATCAAGCGCCTCGCGAGCTGATTTCTGAAGCAAGAGTGGGTAGGGCAAGGTGACTATCTACAATCCCAGAAGCTGTTAGGATGTTAGAATGGGCAAAGGAAGGAGACTTACCTCACTAGGCTTTATCGTGGGTCTTGATGCGTAGTATGGACAAATACCCATCTTTCTTCCAAGGGATGCCAAATCTTCGATATCACGGATCTTGGCAAGTGTATGGTCCCTGAAATCACGCACAGCTACTTGGTCATCCCTTCCCGGGAGAAATTCGCACCGTGATGCTTCAGAAGCCCCTTTCGCACCGGACTTGGGATTAGCGGCTGTGCTCTGTGGTACCTATATCGAGACATTTATGCAGCATACCTGATCGCTGTAGCTCCAAACATCTCTCGTTGATGGCAGTGGGGTTCCCAAGCTTTGTAACTTTGGGATTTATGCAGAGATTTTTCCTCGAGCCGAGCGATAAATGTTTCACTTCTTCCTCCAAAGCCGAACCCTCTCCTCCAGGGGAAGACGGAGGAAACTTGACACGGCGGAGTTCGTTGATGAACTGGGTCAGCTGAGAATGAGTTCTGGAGCAGTAAAAGATCTAGAAAATAGTTATTATTAAATGCTTATGCTTATGGAGTGGGAAACCTTGCCTTGGTTTCATCTAGGAGTTCTGATTCTTCGTCTTTTGCCTCTTTTCCCGTTGGCAAGCCTAATCTACTGCGTTGTTAGCCTCCCCGAGAAAAAAAACGAGTGATCTCTCGTCAATCAAGTCAAACGCACTTCTTCATCAAAGCAACAACCGCTGGTGAGAGCGCATCGCCTCCCAGAGAACCCTGAGCACCACCGTCTTCGTCCCCGCTCTCATAATCTTCTAAACAAAACTGGGCTTCATCGCCGTTACCATCAACCTCAACTTCTATTTCGCCTTTCTGTTCACCAGTTAACCATACAGCAATGTACTAAATGAGCTGGGCAAAATGGGATACCCGTCGTTTTATCTTCAGATTTGAACTGCTGTTCGCGAGCTGCTTCTCCCTTTTCTCCTTCTCCCGAATATCCGCAAGCCGAGCTTCCATATCAGCCTTCTCTTGCAATAGATTCTGCTTCTTCTCGTCCCTGGCAAATTGTTTCACCCAGTCGGGCGCTCCATCGTCTTTTCGTTCCAATCACGGAAATCAGCTCTCACACACCGCCATAAAAAAACCTACCAAATCCCTCATATGGTGTTTACCTTCTCCATCTTCTTTCAATTGCGATTCTATCGATTTTGACTTATGTTCGCGGAGCCAGGTCAGGGCACCACATATCAAACTCAGAGATTTACCCTACCATCAATTAGGACCAAATCCATATATTATGTTCTGTTTCGCCGAGTGTGCTTACAGTGCCTACAGTGGATTACGTTAGTGGGTGCTGATTCTATATGAGGGAACGAAAAATTCTACCAGTTGGCGATTCGAAAATACCAATACATCCATCCTCAATAGTTGTGTAAACGGCATTCATGAACTCGACTTGAATCGGGTAGGGAGTATAGGGGTGGTGGAAATCTTTTTCCTGTTTGTCTGCCATAGCTGGTTCTTTGATCGCGAGGAGTGTTGGGAAAAGGATCGGCGGAGTAGAAGGACGCGTAAATGGGTTTAGCAATTGGTATGGTTGATGGACCGCGTTGTTGTCATGGAAACGGCGTTGTTATGATACATCGGTAGCGCCGAACGCTAGGAACATGCTCGCTCACTCGGAATATGGTACTCATAGTTGGGTTTCTGTTCATGTTCACATCCTCGAACCCACGTAGACCTACCTACTCGATCCTTGGCGGCAGGGCCTTCCGAGGTCCAGCTGCCCAGCCAGCGTCTTGGGAGTGTTTGAACCTTGAGCTAGTCACAAAACCTGATTCATTCCGGATCTGCTTAGACTGCGGCTTAGGGAGTAGTAGTGAATGCTGCAGAGCTTATCTCTAAGTACCGGTAGTGATTGCCTCGAAAGTCAGACGCAATGCCCGAAACAGGATTACCATAAATCAGAAACATTGACATTATACTAGTATTGGGTTATATATCGTAGCGCTGGAGTACACTCCTGTTTTACACCAACCAATGTATCGGTGCCCGACCGCCTTTGGCCGTACATCTGTAATCGATGATCCGTGACTCCCCTCTAAATCCCGTCTTCCCCACAGCAAAACCCGCCTCTTTTCATCACTGGTGTTCTAGCTGTGCTTCTCTTTTGCGCACGAAAGGGTCTCCTTTTATCTGTGTTTATGGTCTCTCTTCTCTTGAGGATGTATCTGCTACCATAGTGAATTCAGTGTTTGAAAATATAATATAGTTATAATTAACCTCAGGAGAAGAGAAAAGCAGTCCAAATCCGGCTGCCGTTAGTGTAAGTACCATACTCAGTCATGTTTGACAGCGATATTATATGGGGTGCCTACTTGCGGATTCCAGAAATATTCGGCCGCCTTGGTGCCAAGACATCCTAATTTGCATCTGAATGAGCAAATATGGGGGCCAAGGCATGCCGATACTTTTGGAATCCGCGAGTAGCTAGCGCAGCGATTGAGATTCCATGAACCAATGAACGCCCGTGTTATTAAGAGGAGCCCGTGGGTTGAAATCCTGCCCTGTTGGGAGATTGATAACCGTGGCTTTCCTTAATAAGGTTACGACGAATCGATTCCGCTGCGAGGTATGGGTAGTATAGGCTCTGACTCTAGACCGTACACCAAGGGGTGATGCAAGCAATTAGCGGTGTAGAATAGCAGAAGGAAAGGGGGGAAATAGGGCAAGGGTTAAGAAGGGAAAGTAATTGTTTTGCCTCTATTGAGTTGGAAAAAGCGACTGCAGATATAAGCTCTCTAGTAAGTACAGAGCTGGGCCGGTTGGTTTGTGGGGGTGGTAGTTTTTTCATCGATAACCTTGTAGACTCACTGTTTCCACAATAAAAAGAAGTTAGGTATGAATAGTCACTACTGGGAGGTGATAGGGGTCTACGCGATATTAGAGTAGTTGTAGCTGATTTAAGTCCGCCGGGGGTTGTCTGAGAAATTTATCGTTCGGAGCGGCGCCATTTCAGACATATCGTTTGTGGGAGTATACCGGTAGAGCGATTCGACACATAACGGTAGATACATTGGGAGAGTTGATGTTATCGCCAGGACTTCGAAACTTTCTGTTTTTCGCAGCTCGAGATATTGTAGAGGGTAGATTATGGAGGAGGGTTGAATTGTGGGCTTTTTTTTGGAACTGGGGAAAAGCCGGGTTATCGTGGTTTGGCAACCTGGTGCACTAACTGGAGGGCATCAAAACCATCCAAGATTTGTGAAATAGATATCGGGATTGGCGTTATGGTATGGTACTTTATTTATTTGTGGCTATCCTTTGGCAGGTAAGGTGTCACTTTTCTGGACATTTCGTATGATAGAGCTAACTGGTACAAGCACAGGTTGCTCCTGTTGCCAGCGCTACCATGCGCGGACATGGGCCCCTTGGGAGATAGATCGTTGCTTAAACCGTTACAATAGAGTTTTACTCGATGTTCAGGAATATCGGAAAAGCTCTATGAGGACTAGGATCACGTTTTCCTGATCTTGGTCGGCGCCGCTATGGGCTTGGTGTTTTGTATAGGTTGAGGAGGGAAATTCCTCAAAAACTAGATTCAAATCGAGGAATCAAAGTTGTAAAGGGTGATTAAATTTTGCGCTGAATGATAACTTCAATGTAGCATCTTTGCACCAAAGCTTTACTGCCAAGGAATACGGTAGGCAGTGCTCTAAATATGCCCAAAAATACGAGCAGGGTTGCCGTGGTTGGTGTGTGGGTGTTGCTTCTTGCTGTCTCAATGTATTGTTATGGATGAGTGAAGGTATAAATACATAAAAGGGAGTCTACTTGTATAGCTGGAAAAAAAGGATAAGTTTAGTATAATACAAAATCAAGCGGTAGACCGAACCGTCCCACTGGAACTGTAGTGACGCTACCACCCTTTACACCGAACACATGAACAGAAATACATAGAGCCGAAGGTGATCTCGATGCTTAAGTCAGAGGCTAACGCAACCGGGAGGGTGAATAGCGATATCCACGGGATAGTATCGCACGCCCCGGGATTTTGGGCAAGAGTCGGGAGATGGGGTAGTATAAACAGTGTCAGATATTCTGTGGGGCTGTTGCGAAAGGGGCGTGTATTCGTGTTCAAGAACGGCAAGTCAGGCATATGCGCCCTGAGTTTTAAACGTTGCGGGTATTTGCGGCTATCTGGGCTTGTAGCAGCTCAGTTATTCTCCCGTGCTCATTCTCAATAGCCCGCGAGATTGGTGAGTGGCCGTACTCATCCGGCCTGTCAGGTATGACATCACCCCGAGACAGCAGTAGTCTTACAACTCCCTCATGCCCATTCTCGGCGGCCCGTGAGAGTGGTGCCCGGTCGTCCTTGTCTAAACTGTCGGGGAGGACATCGCCCCGAGACAGCAGTAGTCTTACAACTCCCTCATGCCCATTCTCGGCAGCCCGCCAGAGCGGTGTTCGCCCAAACACCGTGTCTGGCCTGTCGGGATTGACCTCCTCCCGCGAAAGTAGTAACGCCACCACTTCCTCACGCCCGTTCTCAGCAGCTCGGGAGAGTGCCGTATTGCCGTACTCATCTGTCTTGTCAGGGAGGACATCTTTCCGTGACAGTAGCAGCTTCACTACCCCCTCGTGCCCACTCTCAGCAGCCCGAGAGAGCGCCGTATTGCCATACTGATTTGACCAGTCGGGAGTGACCTCTTTCCGTGATAGTAATAGCCTCACCAGTCCTTCATACCCATTCTCGGCAGCCAAGTAGAGCGGTGTACGGTCCAATACAATGTCTGGCTTATCGGGATGGATGTTTTCTCGCGAAAGTAGTAGTCTCACCACTCCCTCATGTCCATTCTTAGCAGCTCGCGAGAGTGGTGTTCGGCCAAGTGCTGTGTCTGGCCTATCAGGGTTGACATTTTCCTGTCCAAGTAGTAGCTTCACCACCCCATCATGACCACTCTCGGCAGCCCGCCAGAGTGGTGTCTGACCACATTCGTCTAATCTGTCGGGATGGATATCTTCCCGTGATAGTAATAGCCTCACTACTCCCTCGTGTCCATTCCCAGCAGCTAAGGAGAGCGGTGTGCGGTCCAATACAGTGTCTGGCTTATCGGGATGGACGTTTTCCCGCGAAAGTAGTAGTCTCACCACTCCCTCATGGCCATTCACGGCAGCCCAAGAGAGAGGTGCTCGGCCAAACGCAGTGTCTGACCTGTCGGGATGGACATCTTCCCGTGAAAGTAGTAGCTTAACTACCCCCTCGTGCCCATTCTCAGCAGCCCGCGAGAGTGGTGTTCGACCGGGCACTATATCTGGATTGTCGGGGTTGACACCTTCTTGTTCAAGTAATAGCTTTACCACTCCCTCATGTCCGTTCTCAGCGGCCCACGAGAGTGGTCTTTGGCCAGATTCGTCCGGCATGTCGGGGTCGATATCCTCATGTTTCAGTAGTAACTCCACCAATCCTTCATGCCCAAGCATAGCAGCCCATACGAGTGGTGTCTTCCCCGCGCAGTCGCCTTCGTTGATATCACAACCTTTCATTTCCATCAAAGCAGCCGCAACCTCAACAATTCCGAAGTAGGATGCACAATGTAGTCCAGTGAATAGGGAAAGAGCATGGAAATCGATGAAACCGGAAACCCTTACTTGATCAAAAAGAAGCCTGACGGAGATGTGGTTATCGTACCGGCCAAAAAGTTTCAGTGCAAGTGACATCGCGCATTGCGAGAGTTCCCTTTTTGCGTGGGTTCCCCAATACACAGAAGAATATTTGAGGAAGGGAACGTTTTGAAGGTTATAGGAGGGAATTATCGAAAATTCCTTGACCGGGTGGGAATTCAGATAGGTCAAGCAGGTTTCTGCGATTATCGAGTGAGCTTTGCTAAAGAGGTCGGGCTGAGATCGAAGATACTCCTGGAGGGTGAAATGAACCAAGCGGACAGTCGACGCCTCCTTATCCATCACGACGAGTCCTTGGCAACAGCCTAGCAATGTTTGTATCGAAGGAACGTCGTCGGTATCGATATCCGGTGATTCAATCTCGATCGCTAAGGCATGACACAGCTCATCTGGCCGTAGTGGCCGCTCTGAATGAGAGATCCACATGAGGACGGCAAACCCGAGTCTTGATTTCTCCACTCCCTGCGCCTTTATCCGTTCTAGGGTGGCACCATACGCGTCTCCTAGCCCCAAGCCATTTGTCATTGTGTTGAGCCTTTTTCTCCTGCGAGAGATGGTTGTTTCTCGCAAGATTGCCTCAATATTTAGGGAAACTAACAGAAATCTAGATGCATATCCGTCAGCGGACAACATAACCTAAAGTGGGCTTCCCAATGCTGCTGCATACATTTCCGAGATGGTCTCGGGAATCTTTTTTAAAATCTCTGCCTCCAGACGGTTGTCCATGGCATCGGGGGTTGGGTCTTCCTCTAGTCTGG